TCATATATGCACTGTGAAAAATAAAATTCGTTGGAGAATTTAATTGGATTCAGATCACATTATTCAAATCGAATTTGGGTCGAATTTATATTGTTTGGAAAGAAGATAATTAAAATTCAGACAATAAATTTATTAGTTGAATTAATGCAACTAATAAAAAAATGCTCAAAAATAGATAAAGTAGACATTATATAATTTTTGAATGATAAATAAGAAAATCAAAAATTTTTCTTTTAAGCCACNATTATATAATTTTTGAATGATAAATAAGAAAATCAAAAATTTTTCTTTTAAGCCACTTTAAAAAAGATAAAGTAGACATTATAGAATTATTAAAAGATAAAGAAATCAAAGTTTTTTCACTTAAGTTAATTTTATTAGTAATATAGATATAAATATGCAATGAATTGAATTGCTTCTCTCTCCAAANAAATAAGAAAATCAAAAATTTTTCTTTTAAGCCACTTTAAAAAAGATAAAGTAGACATTATAGAATTATTAAAAGATAAAGAAATCAAAGGTTTTTCACTTAAGTTAATTTTATTAGTAATATAGATATAAATATGCAATGAATTGAATTGCTTCTCTCTCCAAATAATAATAATGGAACTGGTCTAATGCAAAATTGGCTCAGTTTACATGCAACGCCAAGATCTAATTGGCAAGGAAACGCAGTCATATCATGTAATCTAAAGGACACTAATGCAAAAACAACCAATCCGCCGGGTAGCCATTATCTTGTTGAATGAATGAAAGATGCTTCATGACAAATATATTTTTTTCACTTTAAAATGAATATGGAAAAATAGCTATTTTTTTTTTTTTTGAGCAATACTTTTTTGACCTATAAATTTGATTAATTTTTTAATCTAATGATGTGTCTAGTGGTATGGCTTTAATAATATAAAAAAACTAATAATTATTGTAAGAATAATACTATTAAACCATGTTAGTTGTCACATCATTAAGTTAACAAATTATTTTAAATCTTTAATTCTAAATAACATCACTCTCTTTTTATTGAAAACATTAGAGAAGGGCAGTGTGAGACTGGACTGCCTCACCTAAGATTTAAAGATGAAAAAAATTGTATATCATGGCTCACTAATCACAGGCCGGTGTAGGAGGAAAAGCATTCCTGCTTCATTCAACTTTATTGTTTGGAATCATAATTGCTCAAATGAATTTTCAGGGATAATGTTAATAGCAAGCTGAAGCTCGATAATTTTATCTGAAAAAGTTGTAATAAAGCTCGGTTTAGTTGAGTTGAATCCAAATATTACAAGCAAACTCAATAAGCACAATTAATAGGAAACTTACCACACATCTACCAGAAAATGCTCCACCCTTGATTACAAATGAATTGGATGCAAAAAACCCATATTGTTAAGGTTCGCGATCTAGATCACTTCTTTTTTTTATCCCAAATTATAATCTAATCCAATTCGTTTTGGAACTCATATCACAAACATAGATAAATATTAATTGATTTTGTGTGTATGGTTGCATAATCACTTTTTATTTTAAAAAATACAATCAAAATATAAAATAAAATATTACTTAACTAAGTGTGTATGAATATAGTATTTTATGTAATACCGTATAGTAAAGAATCCAATACACATAAGAGTTTCAAAAAGGAATTACGACCCAAAATACTTTAAAAGCTAAAGCTTACTCTCATCACTCTGTGCACCCGAGAAAATGTTATATCATATCATGTATTTGCACTACGTCCAAATCAACTTACTATTTAGGTAATATTGGCTTANTTCAAAAAGGAATTACGACCCAAAATACTTTAAAAGCTAAAGCTTACTCTCATCACTTTGTGCACCCGAGAAAATGTTATATCATATCATGTATTTGCACTACGTCCAAATCAACTTACTATTTAGGTAATATTGGCTTACCTACTCTTTTTGGTCAATTTGTAAAATGTTTTGGGGATTTTTCGATAGGGCTAAACAGTATAGGGCTCTTTCAATCAACTATCGATAGATCAAATTTTGAAAACTTGTTTATGGCTTATTCCCCACTCAATCAAGAGGAATGTGAGTGTGAGCCAACTTGCTGGCATAGCCGGCAATGAAGTCACATATGTATACATTCCATACACAAAAGACATGACTAGAGAAACACCTACAANAGTATAGGGCTCTTTCAATCAACTATCGATAGATCAAATTTTGAAAACTTGTTTATGCCTTATTCCCCACTCAATCAAGAGGAATGTGAGTGTGAGCCAACTTGCTGGCATAGCCGGCATTGAAGTCACATATGTATACATTCCATACACAAAAGACATGACTAGAGAAACACCTACAAAAATGAACCAAAGCCAATTGATTCCCTTCTGCATCGCCACTCACTGCAGTGTGCGTTCAAATCTTATAGCTAGTAACCAAACTTAAAAGTTAAAAACAGAAGACCATATCCCCACCTCAGATATCTTAGCTTTTCTTGTTTATTTTTTTGCACACCTTGAATCACCAAATTGAGACCTAATCACCCATAATGGACCTTCCTTCAAACCTCAAGTCAGACGAGGCGAGCCCGGAATGGATGAACAAGGGCGACAACGCGTGGCAAGTAACTGCTGCCACGCTTGTCGGCCTTCAATGCGTTCCGGGACTCGTGATTTTCTACGGAGGCATGGTGAAAAAAAAATGGGCCATAAACTCAGCCTTCATGGCCCTCTACGCATTTGCAGCAGTTTTAATCTGTTGGGTAGGTTGGGGTTTCCGTATGGCTTTCGGTGACAAATTTCAAGTCTTCATAGGCAAACCAGACGTTTCTTTAGACCAAAAGTTTCTCTTAGGACAAGCATTTCTGGGCTATTTTCCGACGGCGACAATGGTGTTTTTTCAGTTTGTTTTCGCTGCAATTACGCCGATTTTGATCGGAGGGGCACTTCTGGGGAGGATGAATTTTATTGCGTGGATGTTGTTTGTGCCTCTGTGGCATACGTTTTCTTATACGATCGGAGCTTATAGTATATGGTGCCCGGAAGGGTGGCTGGCGAAGCTTGGAGTTATTGATTTTGCAGGAGGGTATGTTATTCATCTCTCTTCTGGTGTTGCTGGATTCACTGCAGCTTATTGGGTAAGCACCAAAATCAATTGCATGTATTTTTTTCTTGGCTAAGAGTTGATTAGGGAAGGAGTTACAATATCAAAGTTTATCACATTTTTTGCGTCCAAATTTAATATTTTAAAATAATTTTGCAATAAAAAAAGCTAGAATCGATCACCAAATATTAGCACCGATCCCAATAAATCAATTTGCAATATAATACCAAAAAATAATTTTTCGTTATCTTAGTCTTACCCTTTCAACTTTTCATTTGATCATGGTATAAATGGTCATGCTAAAATGAAAAGGTTAATTCTTATTTTCCTTTGTGGTATATTTATTCATCAAATAGATTTCAACTTCAAATCTTTCATATGAGTCTATGACAGTCTCATAATTCTAGGGGTAATCTTCGAAGTATGTTGAAATAAAAGGTTATACTGAATAATAGGTTTTGTGGTGTTCTTTTAGGAGGGAAGTATGTTTAGATTAGAATAAATAATAGTGAGATATGAATAAAATATAAAATCAGAAGGGAAACATTGTAATTTAAAGACTACAAAAGGGTAACTCTTATAATTATTAATAAGTTTTGTTATTTGACTACTCAACAACTAGAATTGGTCTCATGTTGTCCCAAATAATGCCTCTAGGAGAATTTGCAATCAAAAATCATATTTGGAGTGAAACATGACAATTTAGAATGTAATAGGAGATGGAATATATATATATATATATATATATATATATATATATATATATATATATATAAGTAATCTA